TTAGTACCAAAGTTTGCTAGAATGTGTTCAAAGCACCTTAATACCAAAGTTTGCTAGAATGTGTTCAAAGCACCTTATTACCAAAGTTTGCTGGAATGTGTTCAAAGCGCCTTAGTACCAAAGTTTGCTAGAATGTGTTCAAAGCACCTTAATACCAAAGTTTGCTGGAATGTGTTCAAAGCGCCTTAGTACCAAAATTTGCTAGAATGTGTTAAACGCATCTTAACAGAATAGAAAAAGAATGATTAGTTGTTTTGGATATTCATGCTAAGCTATACAAGAGTTGTCTAAGTTACCTGTTCATAATTTCGAACTGATAAACGAGATGGAAAGCATCTAGTTAACAACACCCACCTCTAACTCTTAAGCTACACTAATCGAATCTAGGGATTTCTCCGTCACTCTTATAACAAATACGACACCAAAGTGCAGAGCGAAGTTTTATCTTTGGAAAGCGAGCCATGAACCCCTCGGATTCACACTTCGACATTCTACCCCATTTTTCACGCCTGGCCTTGAGAAAAAAGGGAAGTAGATAATATCTGATTAGGTTGTTCTTTACCCATGTAATGTTTCTTTTACAATGAATGTGCTTGGAAATCCTTATGATAAATAAGGGAAACATGAACAATCTTAGACGCTTAGATATTTTGATAATATATGTAATACACTATTCATGTTTTCGTCTTAGCATTTATTTAATCGCTTATGTTTTTCATAAGTCACAAGTACAAGATTTAATAGGAAATGAAGATAGTATGTGCATCCGTAGTGAAGGGACAAGAAACAAGTGATATTGATCTACGAGGCCTATCAGCTTGATGCTTTACACGTGGCTTGAAAGTCAAATAATTAACCATAGCGACAGATGACATCTAAGTTCATTCAGAGCTATTGATTTGGCCCTTCTATATTTTCCTATGCTTTTATAAAATTACAGATTTGTTAGAGAGGTAATGTAGTCAGCTTCAGCCAACTGTATTTGATTATGTTTGCAGTTCTGTAATTCGTTGAGCAGGCTATCTTCTCGGAGTGTGATCAAACGAAAGAATACTGGGTGCCTAGTTATATTACTCATAATTTAACAGTTTGCGAACTAGTTTCCAAATGAGGTCATATCGGTTTCATACATGATAGTAAGCTTAACTTTCTTTCTCTCGAGCTATTTCTCGATGTATATAAAGATATACGGCACTTTCAATCTGGCATTTTGAAAGTTGCAAGCTGTGTAAGAGCTTACAAAAGAAATTGCTACAAGTTGTTTAACACTTTACAAGAGAGTTTGCTACGAGCTGTTTTACACCATAGAATAGAGCCTGCTACAAGCTGTTTAGCAGCTTACACTAGAGATTATTATAAGTTGTTTAACAGCTTCTAAGTGATCCTCCTAAAAAATTTCTAACAGTTTACAAGAGAGCATGCTACAAACTGTCTGACAGCTTACAACAGAGTCTGCTACAAGTTGTTTAACAGCTTACAACTCAGTCTGCTACAAGTTGTTTAACAGCTTATCAGAGAGCGTGCTACAAACTGTGTAACACCTCACAAGAGAGCGTGCTACAAACTGTGTAACACCTCACAAGAGAGCCTGCTACAAACTGTGTAACACCTCACAAGAGAGCCTGCTACAAGCTGTGTAACACCTCACAAGAGAGCCTGCTACAAACTGTTTAACAGATTCTTTCACCCAGTAATATACGCAGGCACAATTATATAAATAAATATATATACATAGGACTTACATTTGTTTTATTATCTCTTGTAAAATATTTGTGTATATATTTTACCTTTAGGCAAGCGATTTTTATGAATTATCTTCCTTACACATTAAACGTACGTATTTGGTTGATTTGTTTGTAATTAAGCACAAAGCTATACAATAGGCTATCTGTGCTCTGCCCACCACGGGTATCGAAACCCGGATTCTAGCATTGTAAGTCCGCAGACATACCGCTGTGCCACTGGGGGGGCACGTATTTGGACACATGTTCCTCTGTCTAAAAACAAGTCACGAGAGAAATATTTTTGTTATAAAACATGTATGACAAATAAAAGTTTATTTTCTCAGCGGAACAATTGATATGTTATCAATAGCTAGCCACCTACACTTCATGAATAACCATACAGTACAGAACGTGACTTTGGAGATATTTTAGTGGAGCAAATATATATATATCATAGTTGTTTTTCTATGCGAGAGCGAATACTTTTAGAATTAATGTTGTCTGGTGTACCTCCACGTAATGCCAGAGATTGAAATACGACCTGGCGTTCTATTTCAACATCAACTTGATCAAAGGTTATTTCAATCTCTACTAGGGTTCCCAAATAAGGGGCCATACTAATAAAATGATATACTGAGGAAAGATATGAGAAAGACGTTAGGTATGTTAAGAATCCTTATTTCACTGATATCATTACCATGTGAACTATACTAATTTATTCTTTAAATTGATATTTCGTAAAAGTTAAGCGTGCTAGCCAATGTAAAATGATATCATCAGTATTGTGGGTTTAAGCCTAATCATTTAGTTTTGCTTAAGACTTCTTCAATTCATTTAGAATAAGTGGAAAATACATTCAGTGAAGTTATCAGAACGTCTTTCAAGTTGCTCGTAAATATTTTTATATTATGTTGTTGTTAATATACCTAGAAAAATAAATGTGATTAAATAAACTATATTATGTAATTATTATTTGTGAAGTTCTTACTTTTCTTTTCTTTTTTTTTCAAATGACAGATATCTTTAGTAATCACTTGGAGATGTACAGAGTCATAGGAAAAGATACCAAAGTGACTATCATGTTGGATATTGTTCTGTTGTTCCTTTTGTGTTTCAATCTGTCAAGGTCGGATGGAGAGACGACAGTTACTGGTAAGGTTGAACACTTTTTTAAACTCAAGACGTATAAAAAGTTACTGATTATTATTTCCAAATTACGTCTCACAGTCCGTAATAATGTGGTGTGTTCTAAACCTTCTAACTGAGACTGTGAAACGGGGTTATGTGTAGAATCTTATTAATCAATAAGTTTTATATTTAAGTTTTTAATTACAAGTATTAGCTAGAACGGTTCAGTGTCGGTTTGCTATCGAGATGTCATGAGGGTTTAATTACATTTGATTATTGAGTATCTCCTATCAGTTTTGTCTGTCAGTTTTCAGATGGCAATAATAAGTTGTCTTCACCAATACTGAATACACTACAGTCACATTCGAACTAATGACACTAGCCTTTTCAGGAAGAGTTTTTAATAATTGATTTCGGAAAAAAAGTATGATAAAAAGAAGATGAATGAATATACGTCTTAAAAGATAGGAAAATATGTTATCACAATACATGAAATTATTTAAATATTGCTTTACGGATATGTTACCACATTTTCCGTAAACTATAATTTCCCAGTAATAGATTGTTCTTAAAATTGTTTTTAGCCATGTTAAATTTTTAATGCACCCGTTACAATAAAACCCATTTTGACAATGACTAGATAGGAACATGTTAGTAACTCAATCAATTGCAATTTGTCTGTTAATTAATTAGTGAGTAAGTTAACTGTGATATTAGATTTCACGAATTTACCAACAATTATCATTATCGAAAACATATGTGAATACGTTTAGAATAAAGTTGTGATTTAATGAATAAGAGGTTTTAATGTATGCTCTAAACACGAATAATTATGTGAAGAATTGCCTGTATATCAAAGTTGATACCTACCTAGCACTTGCTTAATTCGCAAGTCATTTTTGTTACAACTTTATTTTTATCCTGGATCCATATTCATCACTATAAGTCCATAACTTACCTCGACGGGCCCGGCATGGCCAGGTGGTTAGGGCGCTCGACTAGCAATCTGAGGGTCGCAAACTCAAATCCCAGTCCCACCAAACATGCTCGTTCTTTCAGCTGTGGGAGCGTTATAAGGTGACGGCCAATCCCACTATTCGTTGGTAAAAGAGTAGCCCAAGAGTTGGCGGTGGGTGATGATGATTAGCTGCCTTCCCTCTAGCCATACATTGCTAAATTAGGGACGGCTAGCGCAGATAACCCTTGTGTAGCTTTGCGCGAAATTAAAAAAAAATTAACTGGACGTGTCACATAAACGTAAAACCTTCAATATTATCATGCACGCGCGAGAAATAGAGCCAGAAGGCAGCCATTCAGGGTAATGAAAAATCCACTTTTGTCACCCTTTTCATCCTGTTTT